AACCAACTGACCAACATACCAACAAATGACCGACCAACTAACCAACCAACTGACCAACATACTAACAAACTGACTGACCAACCAACCAACTGACCAACTATCCAACCAACCAACTGATCAATCAACCAACCAACTGACTAACCATTCAATTGACCAAGCAACTGACCCACATACCAATCAAATGACCAACATACCAAACCACCAACCAAACAAACGACCAATATACCAACCAACTGACTGATCAATCAACTGGCTGACCAACCAAAAGACTGACGGACCAACCAATCAATCAACCAACTAACTGACTAATCGACAAACTGACAACCAATCAACCAATCTCATACTCTCTGGATCTTAGATGGTTATGTGTATAAAACCCACCTGTCAACAGAATCAGTTTCTTCTGCCCTAACCTCTCAACCATCATTGGTCAGACCAAAGAGCTGTCAGAGAACTTCAGGCACAAGAGCATAGATATGACCAAGACTTTATGGACTGCAGATAATTAGCATGAAGCTTAGTGAGAAGGTTGCAACCATTATTTTGAAATGACCTACAGTCGCCCTAGGTCTAGAGTTCCATGGGAGAGCTTTCTCATGGGGTGAGGATGATGATAAGAAAGGTGAGGGATCAGCTCACAATTACACAGTTACACAGTAGCTCATAAATGAGCTGAAGGCAAGTGGGACCACATTAACTAAGGTCATCATTGGTACCACACTACGCTGTGATGGACTAAACCCTGGCAGCGCCTACAGGGTCCCATCAGGATCCCTGGCAGACATCAGACAGCCATCTCCCTGGAATTTCAGAACAGAGGAACTTGGAAGGCACTGAGTTCAGTTTCTTGGGTTTCTGTTCAGTGCCCTGAGCTGACTTCTGTTGTGACTTGGCAAATAAACTGATCTGAATTGAATTTTACTTGCTCTGAAATACTTCCTGTTAATTGTAACTGTTTTTACTCTGACTGCAGTGCTTTTTGTTCCTTCCTGTTTTATCTTCATGTCAGTCAGCTGATGTGTTTATGTGAAATCTGCCTTTTGTCTGCTGGTGTCTGATAATCTCTGCTGTGTGTGTGTGTGTGTGTGTGGTTGGGGGGTGGGGGGTCCAGCAGTGGGTGGACAGCAAACAATGCCCATCTTTACGAAACAAAAGAGGAAGGAAGAGCATTTCTTCTTCACAATAACCACTGTGTAGTGGCCTCCTCGCTGACTGGATTAGTGACGGTAACCAGTGTGGGGATGACGGCCTCCTAATCTTGCAGCACATCCCGGCATTCATTGAACACCTTCGAGCCGCTCAGGGTTTGGCAGCCGGGGGGCTGGGGTGTCTGTGTCTTAGTCTAATTAATTATCAGTGAATGAAGATGCAGTTTAAGAGCATTAGTCCAGCCTCATGTTGGGTTCTACTGCACAATGATTGTGTTTTATCTGCCAGATCCAGAAGTATCCTTCATTAACTCTCAGTTTGGGATTTTTTATATCTTTTTATTCATACAAGCTCAAATATACACTGCTTTGATAATATTTAGTTAAATTTTCATCAGCAAGTGTACATTAGACCTTTGGCTGTTTTTCTCCATCAACAAGTTTCTGATAGAACTCTGATATTTCCATCTATTCATCTTCGTCTTGTTCTGAACTCTGGTCTTGGGGCAGCAACTTGATCAGGGAGGTCCAGATATCTCTTTCCACAGCCACCTTTTCCAGTTCTTCTGGGAGAACTCCAAGGCGTTCCCAAGCCAGCCAAGAGACATAGTCTCTCCAGCATGTCCTGGATCTTCCCAGGAGTCCCCTCCCAATCTGACCAGTCTGGAAACCCTCACTAGGGAGGTGTCCTGGGAGCATCCTTTCCAGATGTCTGAACCACCTCAACTGGCTAGTCTCGATGTGCAGGACCATTAGCTCTACTCTGGCTCTCTCCTGGAGAACTGAATTTCTCACCATATCTCTAAGGGAGAGTCCAGCTGCCCTGCAGAGAAAATTTCTTTAAACCGCCTGTATCCACTATTGTGTTTTGGTCAGTACCGTCAGTTCTTGGCCATAGGTGAGGTTAGGGTTAGTCCATGGTGAGAACAGAAAAACTGTCTTCACTGTGGACAAGGACACTGGTGTTTACCTTCCGGGACATCTGATCAATCTGATTAATTATCATTAATAATCAGAACTGCCCTGGTCTTAGTGGATCAACTGAACCAGTCCAGCAGAAGGAGAGCTAGTGACAGACAGTTCTTTAGCCTCTGTTCATCCTGAAGGTCACCTTTGTTCACCTGGACTCTGTGTTCTTGGTGTGTCCAGGTGAGTCCATGTTGGTGGTAAATGAAGGAGCCTCCGTCTGTTTGTGTGGGGCGGTTTTAGGAGCTTCAGACCCAGACAGCCCCACTGAGGACCTGACCTTTCAGCTGGAGACTCCTCCCCTACATGGCTTCCTGGAGAACACACTGCCAACGCCAGGTTCTGAGAAGAGCAACGCTGGAGTTCGGGTCGGTCGGTGTTATTTATCTGTGTTGTGTCTGTTTTGGACCACCTGGTTCTGGTTTCTCACAGAGATACAAAGATGTTTGTTAATGATCACCTGACCTCAGAGGTTTTTTTTTCCCCCAGAATCCTTCAGCCTCGTCCACCTGACTTCAGGCTTCATCAACTACGTCCAATCAGAGTGCAAAGGGGCGGAGCCAACTGTAGATCAGCTGTCCATCAGTGTGAGTGATGGGCTGCACAGCTCCGCCCCCATTCATTTCTACATCATCATCACACCAACCAATGATGAGACTCCTACACTGTGGATCGCCAACTTTAGCGTAAGTTCTGATACCACCTCGAGTCCTGACCCCACCCCCAGATTCCCAAGACCCGACCTCAAGAGTCCTGATCCCACACCCCATGTCCCACTGCCTAAAATCCTGAGTGCCACCCCACCCTCAGAATCCTTACACCACCCCCAGAGTCCCTGAGTCCAACCCTCAAAGTCCTGACACCTCACGCAGAGGCTTCACTCCACCTAAAAAGTCCTGTCCCTACCCCAGAGTCCAGAGACCTGATCTCTAGAGTCCTGAACCCATCTGCAGAGTCCTGACACATCCCTAGATTTCTGACCCAACCCCCAGAGTCTCTGAACCCGTCTTTCAGAGTCCTGGCTCAACCTCCAGATTATTGACCCAGTCTTAGCCCTATTCATATTAAAGATGTAAAACGGTCACTTTAGACCCATAACCATGGTAACCAAGCAGACAGCAAGTTCTATGCAACCAGTAAACACTTATATTTGATATGAAACTCCTGAGGTAGATGAGTGACTCCTGGTGATCTCTTGCAGGTAACTGAAGGCGGGATGACGGAACTGACTCCATCCATACTGGACGGCTCAGATCTGGATGTCCCCTCGGACCTCCTCACCTTCACAGTTGAAAAGCCCCCGGCCCACGGCAGACTCATTAACGGCATTCATGGAGCCGAACTGAGCCGATACAAGAAGACGGGGACCGAGCAACTCCAGAGGAACCTCCACATCACCTCCTTCACCTTGCAGGAACTAAAACAAGGTGAGACTGAGTCCACATCACCTCCTGGTCCTTCAGGCTGTAGGACAGGATGAGACAGAATCTAGGACCAGAGATTGAAGCGCCTGCCGCTTTTAAAAACTATTTCTGTTTCCAGAAACATCTAGGAGGTTTGAAACACAATGAAGCAGTTCTGGTAGTTCTAGGTGCAAACTGGTGATGTTCTACATGGTTAACGTGGGAGAACCATGTTCCACACAATAAATACGGGTCATGTGACTAAAAATATGGCTGCACTCAGTAAAATGTGGGTACACACAGTCCGTGCACGGTTCCACAGGAACAACCGCCTACTTTACAAACTCACAGCAGATCCAAAGGTTTTTGACATTGCAGCTTATTTTCTCTTTTTGATGCTTCTTACACCCCCCCCCCCACACACACACACACACACACGCCTCCCCCTCTGCAGGCATGAAGATCATGTATGTGCACGATGACACGGAAACCCTGGAGGACACCGTGCTGCTGCGGCTGACAGATGGTGTCCACACGGTGGAGGGGACGGCTCGGGTCACCGTGCTGCCGGTCAACGACAACAAACCACAACTGCTCAAGTACACACACACACACGCGCGCGCACGCGCGCACACGCACACACACACACACACGCACACGCACAGTGAGCTGCTGTTTAAAGCTCCTTAATCTCACTAATGAGACGTCTGTAGAAATATGGGTCACTGTGAGGTCAGAGGTCAAGGTGGGAAGCCTCTCTCTTTATGATTAAAAACACGTTACATATTTAAAGATGCAGCAAAATTATATTTGGATTAAACCTTCTTGGTTGTCCCCAGATCAGCTGAGGGCTGAGGCCTTTGGGGGGCCCGGTGCTGTAAAGACCACCGAGGCAGAAGAACACACAGACTTGGCAGCAGCTGCTGTCCTCCTCGTCCGTGCGGTTCCTGCAGGATGAACGTGGCAGCTTCTCTCCTGCGTGGATTTTATTTCCAAGCGAAGAAGCAAACAGCCAGACGGTTCCTGATGTTCACCCCCACCCCCAAAATAAAACACCAGCAGCACCAACCCAGATCTGCACGGTCCCACAGGAAGAACCTGCTCACACACAACTTCCTGCTTCTGCTGTTTAAACATCAAACTTTACTTCATCGACTGCTGAGAGGAACCCGTTATGTTCTTCATGCGCAGGCAGGAAGTTGTTTTTCTGAAGGCAGGAAGTTCTCCAGCTGAAAGAATGTGACCAATCACAGCTCAGGCCTCTTTGGACCTCTGGCTGGTGTCTGACCTCTGACCCATCACGTTTTGGTCCTTGTGCTAAAGTTCTCCTCAGAAGCCTTCAGCAGATGTTCTTGGGTTTGGAGTTGGTGGCAACAGTTTCTTCTTTGCTTGTGTTTTAGGAACACGGGGCTGGACGTGAAGTCCGGTGAGCACAGAGTGATCTCCAGCCTGGTTCTGGAAGCTGAAGACCTGGACACGCCCCCAGATCAGGTGTACTACGTCCTGAAGGCTGCACCAAGGTTTGGAGGGCTGCAGCTGAAGGTGACTGAACCGTTCGCTCCGTGGTTCTGGTGTAGGAGACTGAGACTACACCAGAACCTTCAGAAGGTCCAGGTTTAGTGTGTCGTGAACACTGACCCAAATCCGACCCGTTTTGTTTTCAATCATCAGAACTTTAAACGTTTCATCGTCTCTTCAAGCAGCTCTGAAGAGACGATGAAACGTTTAAAAGATTCACATTATTTTTAGGTTTAACTCGTGATCTGTTTCTGCAGACGGAGTCGGGTTGGATCCAACTCTCAGCCGGTCAGAACTTCACTCAGGATGATGTGGACCTCAACCGGCTCTGGTACAAACACACTGCCGGGGTCAAAGGTCACGACAGCTTACGCTTTGTCCTCAGCGATATGGACAACGAGTCTCCGGCTCAGATCTTCTTCATCTCTGTCCACACGGTGCACAAAGGTCAGAACCAGAACCTGCTTCATCCACAATCAGCTGCTCCCAGAGACCTGCAGACCCAGACCTGCAGACCCAGATCCAGGACTATGAGATCCAAATGTAGCAGTTTTAGCATGACAACATCTAGAGGTCCTCACAGACCTGCAGAGTCTTGCTCCTCCAGCCGGGTGGGGGTCATACATTATTCACCCCCAACACTTTTACCAGTCGGGTGAACACGGAGCTGTGGGCCCGGCCCTTCTGGCTCGGGGCCCGATGATCCTGGAGGAGCAGAGGTGCGACCCCTCAGATGGTGAATAATTCACAGCGAGGAGCTGCAGCAGCTGCAGAGGCTGGTTCTGTCCCGCTGGGTCCTGGTCCAAACCCAAACATTTCCTCTTTTAGAACTTTGGTCCTCTGAGTCGCTCGTTCAGCTGCAGGTAGAACTTCAGAACCTCCTAGGTCCAGGATCTAAGGCCTGCTGGTCCAGGGTTAGGACCTGGTTTATAAACAGATGTTGTGGTTTTTGTTTAAGAGTTGAGTCTTTTAAAGGATCAGTTTGGTCCAGGACCTGGTTTTCTCCTGTTCTGGGGCTGGTTCTCCACACGGGTAAAGGTGTCAAAAAGTTTTTGGCCCGGTGGTCGAACAGCGAGCGGGTCAGTCTGTCATGATCCGGTTGTTTGCGTCAGACGGGTACAGAATCTGTTCAGAACCCTCACAGATTCCTTCGTCTGCCTCCAGGTGACATTGTGCTGCAGAGCAAGGCAGTACACCTGAGGGAGGGGCAGCGGGTCGTCCTCAACACTGACATCCTGCTGGCATCAGACCTGGCGGGTCGGCCGGAGGAGCTGGTCTTCACAGTGTCGGTACCGCCTCAGCACGGCCTCGTGCATGCCGTCCAGCAGCCGGGGGTCCCGCTGACTAGCTTCACCCAGCTGGACGTGGCCGCTCACCAAGTGTGCTACACTCACAACAACGAGCACAACGCAGGAAGTGACTCCTTCAGGTGAGGGAAGGCCCCACCCACACACCACCGTTCTGCTCAACATCGTTCATCTGGACCGACTCTGAAAGGTTCTGTTAGACGTTCTAGCGAATCAGATCACTGAGAACCAGAACTGTAGACCAGGTGTTCCGCCTTCTCTTGCTGATGAATCCAACAGGAACCATTTTATAAGAGCAGCCAGGTTGGACTTTTGGAACCAGAGTCTGTGTACTCAGGATGTGGGCCTTTAAGCCCCGCCTACTTTCCCCACACACAACCTTCTTTAAAGCAGGAAACAGCATGTAAACATTAAAACACTAGAACAGACATCAGCAAGGTCAGAACTAAGGGACTCGAGAAAAATAAAATATGATCTGAGATGTGGTTTTTAACTTCACCTGGTTGTTTACATGAAGGGGGCGGGGCTTAAACTAGGAAACAGTTGGAGAGGAAGCCAGATTTCAACTTTCAGGTTTCTGTCGTGGTGAAAACCAAGGAAACGCTGGGATTTCCTTTACGCCCTGATGGTGGCACTGGGGACGCACCGATTCCACTTTCCTGGAGAATCCATCCATCCATCCATCCATTTTCTTCCGCTTATCCGGGGTCGGGTCGCGGGGGTAGCAGCCTAAGTAGGGAGGCCCAGACTTCCCTCTCCCCAGCCACTTGGTCCAGCTCCTCTGGGGGAATCCCGAGGCGTTCCCAGGTCAGCCGAGAAACATAGTCCCTCCAGCGTGTCCTGGGTCTTCCTCTGGGCCTCCTTCCGGTGGGACGTGTCTGGAACACCTCACCAGGGAGGCGTCCAGAAGGCATCCTAAACAGATGCCCAAGCCACCTCAACTGGCTCCTCTCGACGTGGAGAAGCAGCGGCTCTACTCTGAGTCCCTCCCGGATGATCGAGCTTCTCACCCTGTCTCTAAGGGAGAGCCCAGACACCCTGCGGAGAAAACTCATTTCGGCCGCTTGTATCCGAGATCTCATTCTTTCGGTCACAACCCAAAGCTCGTGACCATAGATGAGGGTGGGAACGTAGATCGATCGGTAAATTGAGAGCTTCGCCTTTTGACTCAGCTCTCTCTTCACCACGACAGACCTGTACAGCACCCGTTTCACTGCAGACGCTGCACCTATCCGCCTATCGATCTCTCGCTCCATTTTTCCCTCATTCGTGAACAAGACCCCAAGATACTTGAACTCCTCCACTTGGAGCAGGACCTCCTCCCTGACCCGGAGAGGGCACTCTACTCTTTTCCGGCTCAAGACCATGGCCTCGGATTTGGAGGAACTGATCTTCATCCCGGCTGCGTCGCATTCGGCTGCGAACCGCTCCAGCAAAAGCTGTAGATTACGATCTGATGAACCCAATAAGACCACATCATCTGCAAAAAGCAGAGAAGCAATCCTAAGGCCCCCAAAACGGATCCCCTCAACACCTTGGCTGCGCCTAGAAATTCTGTCCATAAAAGTTATGAACAGAATCGGTGACAAAGGGCAACCTTGGCGGAGTCCAACTCTCACCGGGAACAAGCCCGACTTACTGCCGGCGATGCGGACCAGGCCCTGACACCGGTCATACAGGGACCTAACAGCCCGTATCAAAGGGCCCGGTACCCCATACTCCCAGAGTACCCCCCACAGGGCCCCCCGAGGGACGCGGTCGAACGCCTTCTCCAAGTCCACAAAGCACATGTAGACTGGTTGGGCAAACTCCCACGCACCCTCCAGGACCCTGCTGAGAGTGTAGAATATTCCTGGAGAATATTTAAAAAATTTATATCTAAAATATTTTGAGAACAGGCAGCAAAGTACCTCAATCTACTACAACGGACAACAATAATATAAGTTATTATTATTTTGTTTGTATGACTCTTTAAATGTAGCACTTTGACATTTACAAATGTAAAGTGCCCTTTAAATGGGATGCATTATTATTATTATCATTATTTATCAATTCAATTCAGTTTATTTCTAAAGCTCCAAGTCACAACAGAAGTCGTCTCAGGGACTGAACAGAAACATTCATCTATAAAATAATAATTTAATAATAACAACAACAACAACAACAACAACAACAACAACAACAACAACAATAATAATAATAATAATAATAATAATTATTATTATTATTATTATTTAATAATAATAATTGAACATTATTTATGTGAGGAGCAGCTTTGAGTTTAACTCCATCACTGAACTCTCATCTTGA